CGCCCCCCGGCGCGCGGGGGGGAGCCCGCCACGCCGGGGCATCAGTAAATGGGGAGCCGCCCGCACCCCACGGCAGAGGCCCCGGCCCGTCTCCTGCTGACCTTGAAGATAGCGTAGCCGGCCCCTGTCTCGAACAGCACCAGCATGGTGCGGCCACGTGCCCAGCCGCCGCGAGCTCAGCTACATGCGCGCCACAGGCCGGAAGTGCGACGGCCGGAAGTGAGCAGCGCACGAAGCTGGGGTGAGGGCGGGGCTGGGTGTAAAGTGGGCAGGGGGAGGGGTGAGGAAAATACATTTCCGCTTCTTCCGCCCGGGCCTAGGCTTTTCTCAGCTTACGTGGCGGGAGGTGGAGGGTGGTGCTGACGTCACGGCGCTCTGAGAGTCGTTAGTCTAGTTCCCCTGAGGGCGGGGCGGGGTTTCGGCGCTGCCTCTACAGCCGGAGGGCGAAGCGTTGTCCTTGCTTGTGGCGGCGCTCGGAGGGCCCCGCGCAGCTCTCGCCCTTCTCGTCCTGTCCGTGGGAGTGGGGGTTTGGGTCTCCCCTCATAGCCATCGTGGCCCACGCGCCCGCTGCCTGTAGCTGAGACCAGGGCAGCCCAGCCCGCCCGCCCCCCTGCTCCCCCGGGTGGTTTTGCTTTAACGCGTTCAGATAAAAATGGCTCATTTTGGCTAAGATCAAGTGTACTCACTCCTGGCCTTTTATAAGCTAAGAGCACGTGTAGTCCACGAAGGCTCAGGACAAGCCTAGCGGCTTCTTAACCTGGCAGGGGAAATACCACGTATCTGTTCAAGAAGGCAGCTTTCCTGGACTGCTCCACAGGGGTACTGCTCTTCTGGCGTGGTCCAGTCCCTGCCGAGCTGCAGCAGCTTTAAGCCCACTTCATGGAAATGGGAGTCTCCTCCCCTGTTTGCTCTGAGGGACTTACGACTGAGGGCAAGCGAAACTCAGGGGCATCCGAACCCCAAGCCTCGGGGCTTGGGCCTGCAAGTAGGATGCCCGCTGCAGGGTTTGGAAACGTCTGAAGCCCCAGATGGGGATGGAGGATATTTGCTGGTAGTAGGGCCACTTATGGTTTTGGACTCTTGGATTTGAATTTAGTTTTGGCTAATTTGGCCTTGGATACAAATTAAATTAAAAAAAAAAAATTCTCACCTGGCAGAGGAAATATCATAATCACCAGGCCTCTTGTGGGCTAGCAAGTGGTTTTCTGAGGCCTGTCCCTTGTTGCACTCCAGGCGCCCCCGCACCCCTGTGAGTTTCCCTAAATGTAGGAGACTTGACTGCAGAATCTTGTGGTAAAGGGGGACTGCTTTTTTGCTTTCCTCTTGGTTTGCTCCTTGACCTTTTGGCTAAGAGCAAGCAAAACTAGGATGCATCTGAACCCCAGGGTCCCTGGGTTGGCACATACCATGTTGGCTACAGATTTGAGGAGTATCTGAAGCCCAAGATGGGTGATGTGAGGCTGGGAAGGAGGATACTTGCCCAGTGGTAGAGCCACATGGACTTGAATGATGGCTCTGCTCAGTTGAAACTTGGAACTTGACTCTTGCGTTTTGTCCAATAGACTTTGGAACTGATTTGGCTCTTCTTTCGTGTGGCTTTAGGAGCAAGAGCTGTCGTCACCATTTTCATTCCACATTCCCCAACCAGACCAACGCCCTGCTGGAAAGTAAGTGCAACTCCAAGACGTCTTCCTCAAACTTGTATCTGGGGCAGGATGTTATTATGTGCTCTATGGTTTGGTCAGGGTTTCCAGTCGCAGCCAGGGGAGGTTTTGAGGTGCTTCTACTTCAGGTGGCCACACCAGCCAAGTCTAGTGCATATCCTATTAAGGGTTGTCCACGTGCTCTATGGAAGGTTGAAGCTTGGTTGTCGCATTGTTGGGTTGGAAATGAGGTGTTTGTTTAGGAAAGTGTTTTCTGCCCGTGCTTTCCTCCGAGGTTCTTCAGCGTTGTGGTATAGCAGGTGCTCGGTTAGTGTCCAAAAGGGTTTTTGTGAGATCATGTGACAAGTTGGGGGATCTTGAAGGATGATCTCTGTGGATGGGAAGCTCCAGATTACTATTGATACACATTATTTCCCTGTATATTGCTGCATCCCATTGAACAGAGGGAGGAGTAATGTATGAAAGTACTGGCAGCCACTGCACTGGAGTTGATATCAAAATTCCAGAGATGGTCCTTGTTACTGAGTAGAGTTGTGTGTCGGTGAATTTGGTATGTTGACTTGAGGCCCAGATGGGTGCACAGTACTCAGCTGTTGAGAAGATCAGGGCTTTGGCAGAAGTGCAGAGGATGGTGGCTTGTGCACCTCAGCTTGTGTCTTTGTTTTCATGGCAGTCTTTCAGAGATGATAATGGTAGGTTAGGAAGCAGTCAAGGTCCACCCAAAGGTAGGTAGGAGTCAGGTTGTGATGCATTTTTTCTTTACAAAAGGTGACATTGAGGGTGTTATGTGCCTTGTGATTGTCAAGATGGAATGTGGAGACAATGGACTTGGTTGGATTTGGTTGTAATCTGCACTTGTGGAAGTATTCAGCCATTATTGATGAATCAGAGTTCAGTGTGGCTTCGATAGCCTGAAAAAAATTTGCTTGTGTGGTCAAAGTGATATCATCGACTTAGGTACATTGATGATGTGTAGGGCATATCACTTACAGATATTAAAAACTATCGGTGCCAGAACACTACCCTGTGGCAGGCTGTTGTTGAATATTCTTGGAGTCAGGCTGACCTTATCTCATAGGTAGATCTTCATCCTTCTGTTGCTCATCAAAGTTTCATAGTTTTAGGGTCGGAAGGGACCTAATAGATCTTCTAGCCCGACCCCCCGCCAGGGCGGGAGAACAACAAAAAACCCTAAAAACAAAAACGGGACTCAAATGAGTCCAGCCAGGTAGGCATCCAGCCTCTTCTTAAAGACCCCCAGGGTAGGGGCCAGCACCACCTCCCTTGGAGTCAACAGCAGCCGAAGTAATTTGGCACATGGTAGTAGCAGAGACAGTTTGAGCATCAGTCCATGTTCCCACACAGTATCATAAGCTGAGGAAAGATCTGTGAAGGTGGCCCCAGTCTTTAGCTTGTGGTGAAAACCAGTCTCAATGTAATGATGGGAAGGACTTGTTTGCAGCAGCTACAGTGGGGTCTAAAGCCAGCTTGCCTGTTCTTGGGGGAGAAGTAGGTTGATGATGGGGCTGATTCTTAGAAGGATGAGCTGCTCCAGGAGCTTATAGGTTGTGCAGAGCAAAGAGATGGGCCTGTAGCTCCCAGGGTCATGTACTGGCTTTCCTAGTTTTGGCAGGGCTATCACCATTGCCTCATGCCAGATTTGTGAAGTATGGCCGTTCTCCATCACAGTTGAAAAGAGCCAGAAGCCATTGTTTTGCCGGTGGGTCAAGATGGTGGAGGAATTCTGGTGGAATACCATCTGTCCTAGCAGCTTTGCCCTTCTTTGTGGATGCTAGGCCAGCATCCAGTTCCGCAGGAGTGAAACAGGGTGGATAGTGACAGCCTTGTTATGGCCCACCCTATTAAGCAGTTTCTTGACTTCTTTAATTTCTTGAATCTCTGAATTTTTTAATTCCTGAGTCCACAACTAATGTCACTGGAACAGCAACTGAATGCTTTTAACTGGCCTCCTGGTCAATGAAGCAAAACTAAACACTTGACATGATTACAACAATCCCTTTCAAGACTAAGCACCCCCAAATTTTGGCCCTTGATCCAAAAAAAAAGAGAGACCCATTTTCTTTGTTTAATTGAATGCTCCTGTCATGCAGCTGTTTAGTTCTTAATTATTTCTCCTTTTAAAATGTTCAAATTGACCTTTAGAATATCTTGTGTCAATACATGCTCTTGGGCCCCTGCACCACGTTACATTTGTTGCACAATAAGGTGGTGAGTCAGTCACGCCATAAATTTATACCAGATACACAGGCAAAATAATTCTCACACCAGAAAAATGACTGTCCCATTATAAAAATAGCTGACCAGCTGCAAAGCTAGTGCTTGAAAATGTCTAGCAACTTGATAGCTGGTTTCTATCCAGAAATAATTCGAAGGTGTAATGGTGCCCTGGTGTGTGTGTGTGTGTGTGTGTGTGTGTGTGTGTGTGTGTGTGTGTGTGTGTGTGTGTGTGTGTGTGTGTGTGTGTGTGTGTGTGTGTATTACACTGCGGCAGTCTGGTTCAGCTTCATTGGATGACCAGATTGGCATGTCCTGAGTTGACCTTTTGGCTTAACAAGTTACTAATATGGAGTTGCACTTCTCTTGTTAACAGGCAATCCAGGTGAATTCGCATATGGACTAGAAATACTTTTCCTAGTTTTTTTTGCTTGGAGATGGTTACATTTATGCACATTCAGATCTTGAGTGTTAAGTTGTATATGAATGTATGGCTGCTCTTCCTGCACAACCTGTAAAATCAACGTGCTTTTTCAGTACAGGGGAATGTGGCCAAATTGGATTGTTTTCAAATGTTCATTTGTTCCACCTAATGGTTCTCTGTGAAAGTGCATCCTTACTATGTATGATGGTACTTGACCTACTTTCCTATATGCATTGAATAATTTAAAGGCTGAGTATTAAATGATAAAATAGAAGGGGCCTAAATCAGCCCTTGCTTTAGGTTACCTCCCTTGACTTCATCTTCAGTATTACCTGAATAAAGGAAAAGATTGGGTTCCCAGTACAAAGGGAAAATGAAGGAAGATGGGTTGGGGAGGGGGAAGAAGTTAAGAATCTTAAGAATTGGGTCATACTAAAGGTTGTGTAGCTCAGTGACCTGTTTCTGACTATGGTGAATACTAGATACATTAGAGGAAGAGTATAATAAACAGCATAGAGCAATCCCTCCACTTTCATACCTTCCAGTCACCTGAAATAGGTTGTGTCCTTGACTGTTCTATTTAATAGACTCCAGTGAAGCTATCATCCCTAAACTCACCTGTTCCCTTTTTGTTGCACTATTGCCCCCCCCTCCATCATGTGGCAGTGAGTTTCACATGTTAATTATGCAGTATTTTTTAAAACCTGTTGCCTGATGATTTCACATGCAGAGAGGCATAGTAAATAACAGTTCCCTATTTACTTCTTCCATACCGTTCATATTTTTATATACCTCTTTCATTTCTCTCCTTGGTCTTCTTTTTTCCAAGCTGAAGAATCGCAGGCTTTTCAGCCTCTCTTCAGATCCTGTTTATCTTCGTTATCTTTCTTTTTTACTTTTTCCTGTTCTAGCATGCCCTGTCTGAGATGACGTGGCAAGAATTGCATGAAGTATTCAAGAGGTGGGTGCACCATGGATTTATATAATGGCATAATGGTTTTCTGTTTTGTCTTCCATTCCTTTCTTAATGATTCCTAACACTTTATTTGCCCTTTGGATCAACACTGCACACTGAGCCAATATTTTTAGAGCACTCTCCACAATGGTGAAGAGTTCTTTCTGATCCTATGATAACTTAGTCTCTTTGCTTCTAGTTAGTGGTCCTCGTCAAAAAAATATGAAAATCTAATACATTATATAAACTAAGTGGAAGTGCTCCCACCTCCAAGTGTCTCTGTTGTGAAGGTAAGTTAATGGATGTTTGCACTTCTTTAGCAGCTTCCATATCTGAATTCCAAAGTGCCTTAATAAACTACTGCTGTTTTTGTATGCATATGTGACAAGGATAAGAAACTTCTGGAAGTGTTAACGTTTTAATCATGACCTGTCCATTTTACTCATACAGGTAATGTTGCTGGAGGTAGAGCTCTCTAATTATTCAAGCAACCACGATCTGTCTCCTCGTCAAAGGGGTTTTAATCACTCTGGGTACGTTAATTACTTATTATCCAGAAGTATGACTATAATAGCTAAGTATGTGAAAATAGTCTGAAACAGTTTCTCCAGAAAAGATCAATCCCAAGGGTTTAAAGCCAAATAACTGATAGTCCTCTAGGTCTAGGAAGAGAGAGGTAGTTAGCCATATTAATTTCTTATGTGCCACCCTGCCCTACCTTCTTAGGTCTGGAGAGGTGTTTCGTTCAGTTGCAAAGAGGATTCACCATCCTCCAAAGGTACACAAGGTGTTTCTATCCCTGATGATTCAGAAACTTTTTAGTGTAGCCCTGCCAATAGGCTAGATTTGAATAGTTCTTATCTCTGTCATCTAGTTTTGTGCTGCTACCCAACACTGTAGTGTTTAAGCTCCTCACTGGTTGATAGGGTGATATGTTAGCTACCACTTGCATAAATGGTGCTGAATCATATGGCATCAGACAGTTGATTTGAATTGAAGGTGAGGAAGGAAAGGTGATATGAAATGCCTTAGAATGAAATGGAAGAGGGGTCATAGGTAGAAGTATCTTTGGAGAAAAGATGCTGTCCTCTTTGGAGGGTTATTTTGCTCTTGCCTGAAAGAAACCCTCAATAGGTATACTTGGGTCTTAAAACGCAGACTATTTCTGTTGTATTTTAGTTGTATTTTATATTACTGAAGGTACTTGAGCTCTAGCTAAGGTTTATACTGGTTTATCTACTCTGTTTTATTTGTATTGTTGTAGTTCCTAGGGACCCAACTGATATCCAAACCCCATTGTATTAGGAATGATAAATATATGGAAAAGGGCAGTTTCTGCTCTAAAATATTTACTTTGTGCGAGCAAGATGAACAAACATTAAGCAAAAGGGAGGTGGTATTATCACTAATTAAAGGAGAGCAATTTGAGATACAGAAAGACTGAGTGACTTACCCAAGGTTATACAGATGGTAAATCTGAAATGAATTTAGATAATCTCAGTCCTGATCTGGTCCCAAAATAATAACAATCGCCCCATAATAATAACCATGATAATCTTGCCTCCACAAGGAAGAAAAACTGAATATACAGGGCCACACTGAACTTTTCTTCAGACTTGCCCTTGCAACAGTCAGGGCCACAATTAAATAGTCTTTCCTTCCCTTTTAATTTTTCATCATATAAGCAATTTTTTTGGAGGTGACATACTGCACCCTCCTCTTGACTGATGGATGGCTGTCCCTTGGTGCAGTTATTTATAGCAGACATGATTAGTGAAACCTAGCACTGCAGGTGTAGAAACAGTTTCTCTGTTGCCCTTCAATTTTTGTGTTGCACCAAGGTAAAGAAAGGATTATACAAAGGTATGCTGCATCAAACTTCTTGTCCATGGTATTTGCCTCTTCAGTAGATAGTTGTTTCAGTAAAGTTAAAAGTCTAGCCAAATAGGAAAGATCTATTCTTATTTTTTTAATAGGAAAAAATTTGATATCTAATTTATTCTAAAATGCTTCCAGAGTCCCTTCCCAATCAGTTCTTCCTACATGTAGGCAGGACACAGTAGCATCTGAAGACAAACTGCTTCAGAGATGCACAGATTTTTGTAGGCCGTAGCCTACTTTTATCAGATGCATCTGACAATGTAGGTCAGTGGTCAACCCCTACTCCTGCGTCCAGGGGTTTTGTAACCTGGTCATAAAAAGGGACTAGATTAGTCAGGCATGATCTACCTGCTATGAACCCGTGCTGGTTTCCCCTCAGCATAATTCTTCCTGCCGGGCTCTCGCAAATGTGAGCCTTGATAATTTTTTCAAAGACTTTGCCAAGCATGGAGGCGAGACTGACTGGCCTATAGTTGCCCGGGTCCTCCTTCCTCCCCTTCTTGAAAATGGGGACCACATTGGCCCTTTTCCAGTCCTCCGGGACCTGGCCTGTGCGCCCCGAGTGTTCAAATATTCCCGCCAGTGGCTGCGCAATGACATCCGCCAGTGCCTTCAGTAACCTCCGGGGGG